GAGGAGAGGGAAGGAGGAAGAGGGGAGGAGAGGAGAGGAGAGGGAAGGAGGAAGAGGAGATGATAGGAGAGGAGATGAGGAGGAGGAGGAAAGGGAAGGTGGAAGAGGAGAGGACAGGAGAGGAGAGAAGGAAAAATGAGAAAGAAAAAAACAACAGGAGGACTGAGGAGGAACTTCAGACAACACACAGTTGCCGTGAAAGAGCGAGACAGAGTTCACGTAGCATGGTTAAGTTCAGATATATGATTTTATATGGGCAACAAGTGACAAGATAAACTGTAACTGGCTTAGCTGTCAATCTACTCAAAAAATGTTCCCATTTTTAAAGAAATCAGGCCTCTTTATGTAATCTGGTATGTTTAGAGTGTGAAAATCTAAATAAATCTTGATGACGAGTATAGTGAATGTAAACAAAAATAGTGTGTGCGATCTAGTTCATTTGATGGTAGTTATGTTACTCCTTTAATGTGTGTTCACCGTTAGCGTGAATGGGTCTGCTGCCCTGCTGATGACTCCAGTGTTGCACAAGTCTGACACTGCTCAGCTTTAGTTTGAAAGGGTGAACACAGTTTCCTATAGCAGCAACAGGGTTAGCTTAGGTTTACTGTAGTAACCCACTTGTACATATTACCAAAGACTTCCAACCAGATCACCATGCCCTAACTGATCCCAAAGGTGCTTAAAGTTTATTTGTAGCAGGTGACCCTGATCTGAGTGATTGCATGTACCAGATCTGGATAGGTTCTGGAGTTCAGACTTGGGCCAATTTGGGCTAAAAATCAGCTTCTGTTATGAGCAGAATGAACCACTCATACTACAATTGAAGGCCACCAAGTTTCTATCTGGAAATTTTTGTTTTGGACATTATTTTCGTGGGCAATGATATTATGGTACACAGCAAATAAAGTTCACAGACCCACTTCCTGCTTCAACTTTGACCTACTGTTTTCTGTGCAATTAGGGATTATTACACACCGGTTCCCTCACTGTCAGTTCTACCTCAAAATAAAGTGGTTCAGACCATCTGGCTCCATTGTCAACTTGTGTATGTGTCTCATCATCTGATTGCTTGTGTTCCCTGTCCTGTCAGACATCAGATCCCAGCAATTATTTTGATGAGTACAATGGTATGTTATTGAAACTGATAAAAAACAATTCAAAATAAGTCAAGTTGTAAATAAATAACCAACAACCTCAACCTCATTCATCTGATAGGAACGGTCCAACATGGGATATACTCATTATATCCCATATATATTCATTATGTGTCATTCATTAGGTTTCTATGTATGTGTTTGCTGCACTGACAAAATACTTCCTGAGTGTATGGCACTGATGTCCTAGCAATAAAGTACTACTTGATTAAAATGACTAAACTTTTGTGTTGCAGTTACGTCAGAAGGACCCAGCTGGACTTTACATGCTTAAACAAATAGACTGCAGAGATTATGGCCAAAAGCAACAAGGTGCAATGGGCTATACCTCTGAATCAGTCAATCTCTTATGCACTCAGAATATGCGCTTACTGTATATACACGCACACCGGCTCACAGACAGTGAAGGGTCTCGGAAGAGTCCATCCATTCATGATCCTTCATTCTTTAAATGGGGCTGCCATCTTGGCCTGTCTACCCAGGGGCGTCAGCCGGGCAGAGGGGTGGGTCAGCAATCATGTGTGTGACAGGAAACAGGCAGGCGTATTGGCTGTCAATCACACAGCCTCTTTATTTCTTTTCTCCGCTCTGTCTCTCCATGTGTGTTTCTCCGCTTTTCACTGTCTCTTTTTTTCTCACCCCGTCTCTCCCTCAAGTCTGACAAGCAAAAGATTTTCACTTACTTCAGAGAGGGAAAATAAATGAGAGGGAAGTGTAAGAGTCTCCCTGTCTCCTCTCTCACACTCTCTCTCACACACACACACACACACACACACACACACACACACACACACACACACACACACACACACACACACACACACACACACACACACACACACAGTTTGTCTCACATGTCTGAAAGACAGCTAGCAGTGGTTTGTCATTGTAGTGGGCTGTGTTTCCAAATCACTCCTTACACTTTTTTGCAGACACATTACATTCCTCAGAAGACAGGCCGGGCTAACAGAGAGAGAGAGAGAGAGGAAGTTGTACGCTCTCCTTTTCCAAATGCAGTTGAGTGCTCCACACGGATCGATAGTAATCCTCGGTGGGAGCCGTTTATTTTGGAATGTGTGAGGCCCAGTGGGTGACAAAATCCACATTCACACTCGCACATGCGTGCAACATTATAAATCTCGCTGCAGCTGGAGTCAGTGCTGCGCTTGCACACATAAGCACAACACTGCACGCGCCGGTGCAGACAAAGTGACACACAAACTTACACACACCGACAAGTACACACTCAACATGCTCAGGGCCTGACAAGCAAAGCCTCCTGTTGGGCTGGGCTCTCTTCCCTCCTCCACTGAGCAGAACTCACAGGGCTCCAGGCTGGAGGAGGG